AAAACACAGGTAGGACTGGCTGTGAATTGAGGCGATCCAGCTGTATTTTTATAGGTACGTTTCTCCATGAAGTTGTTCTGCATTTATCTTGGGACGATAGTAACAACTGTTGGTCTGACATTAATTAACCTGCAATGAGAAATAGGGCTGCTGAAGAATAAGTAATTTGACAGCCATTGAATTGACTTAGTTACAAAGCAGCCTTTGAAATAAATATTCTACAAGTCAGTCGTATCCATTGGTGCTCAGTGCTTGCAGAATAATGTCAATCAGAAGGGGCTTGGATTAACATGGGAATTAGGTATTAGGTAGTGGATAAGGAAGATCCCTGTTGCATGAACACCAGATTTAAAAGTGGCCAGGTATTTCAGGAAGGAGATGGGGAGAACATTGCAAATTGAGATGAACTTAGGAAAAGCAGTGTATCTCTGGTCTGATGTTTCTATTTCAAGCAAGAACCTCAACTTATTACCTTCTAAACTTAAACTTAACGTACACTATCAGCATGATGACCAGGCAATATAGACACTGAAAATCTGAATTGGCAGAACTAATGTATACTTTGGTTTCAGATACATAGAATGTGGGACTAGGTGGGCATTCCATTTCCTGCTTCCTGCTAATGCACACCCTGGGAGACAGCAGGGGATGGCTCACGTAGCTCCATTCCTTGCCATCTACATAAGAGTCTGAGTTAAGTTCCTGGCTTCAGCTTGGCTCAGCCATTCCATGGGGAATTTTGGGGATGAACCAGCGGATAGGAGTGTGCTGTCTGTCTGTCTCTGTGTTTGTGTGTGTGTGTGTGTCTGTCTCTCTGAAATTAAAAAACAAACCCTAAGTGACTTAATATAATTTCTTCTCATTTATTTTCCGTATAATGTCAGTGAGAGCTCATCAGCAATGCAGTGATTTTTTTAAAAAACTGAAGAAAAAGGAGAAAGTCCATGTTTTGTTAGGCTAAAGGTCATAGATCCCTGTGAACCACCCAGAATACCAAGCTGCTGGTTTGGGGCCTCCTGTCCTGTCTGTGTCATGGAAGTAAATGAGCAGAGCAAGTTGGGACAGCAAAACCCAGGTGTTTTTGCACTGAGGGAGCCCTAGTTGCAGGGGTGGCAGTAGACTGATGGATAGCTGGTTACTACTAACAGGTGCCAAGAACAAGCTGAGATGCACATGCGTTTTCAACCTATGCTTCCATGTTCTCGTCTGTTTGCCAGCACTGTCTCTTAGACACCCAAAGCTGGCCTTATTTTCCTTCCATCGGCTGCCCCCTACTCTGCAGCTCCCAAGTACTGCTGGCAATGGGGAGAGGTCCCCAGACCGAAGTGTAATTTGTCCCAAATCCTCCTTTCAAGGTCCTCTGCATGTGCCGGGGGAGGGGGGGACCCAGCAGTGTTGGGCCCCATGGTGACTCAGGCCGTTCTTACCTTGGTGGTGTCACTTGTCATCTCCCCGGCGGGGGGTGTCCTCAGTTCTAAAATGAAACGTGGATTTGGAAGGCCTTCCTTACTGCTTCTAGTACTAAAATATGTGCCTGACCCAGCTCAGACTGAAGACAGCTGCTGTCTTAAAATCCGGCAGAGAATGACAGAATGGTAAGAGCCTTCTCCCTTTGTACGTGAGAGGCTGGAAAGTCACAGCCGTCCAGTGACCTGCTCTAAGCGATGTGCCTGGTGCGTTAGACATGAGTCAAGCAGCTTTGTCTTGATTGGCCTTTCAGTTACTGGTAAGCATTATTCATGGTTACTGTAAAAGTAATTGGGCTCAAGTTTCTCCACTGGGCTTCCTGCTACAAAATGAGGCCTGCTTGAATTTTTTCTCGCTTGCCAACTACCTCCTGACATGCATTTAGCTCCTGGTTAAGCGCTGGAATAGGATCCTTAAAGAGTCAGCACTTTGGGATCGTGTTTCCTTAAAGAAATGACTGTGGATTGCACTTCGGAGCTCGGCCACAGGCGCTGACGTGCACAAAGAATCAGACTTGAGGAGGGGCTCTGTGAGGTGTCCCAGGGTTTCTGCATGTTCCAGGTGGGAACTGTTTGGTTTAAGGGGAGTGTCTGTGTGCTCACTGCTCCTAATTGCATGGCCCAAAGTGTCCCTGACCCACTCTTACTCTCTGCGCTCAGATTTTTCCTCCAGAGTCCCATTCCACCATACAAAGAAAATATTGTGAAAGTCTATTTTCAATTTACTGTGTGATCTGGGCTCACTTGTCGGATGAGTCTCCGATATTTGTTAATGTCTTGTAAGGTGCCAGATATTGTTCACAATGTAGAGGATACACCAGTGAACACAGTGCACAGGATTGGGAGCCTTGTGGAGCAGAAGTAAAAGAGCTGTCCTGATGGGACCGGTGCTGTGTTGGAGCAGTAAAGCTGCCACCTGCAGAGCCGGCATCCCATATGGGCACTGGTTTGAGTCCAGGCTGCTTCACTTTCCCTCTAGCTCCCTGCTAATGCACCTGGAAAGCAGTGTAAGATGGCCCAAGTCCTTGGGCCCCTGCACCCACATGGGAGACCCAGAGGAAGCTCTGGGCTTCAGCCTGGCCCAGCAGATGGAAGGCTCTCATCTATCCATTTATTCTCTCTCTTTCTCTCTCTCTCTGCCTTCTCTCTAATTCTGACTTTCAGATAAATAAAAATCTTTTTTTAAAAGATTGATTGATTTAAGAGGCAGAATTAGGAGAAGCAGAGAGAGAGAGAGGTCTTCGTTCCACAGGTTCACTCCAAAAATAGCCACAATGGTCAGAGCTGGGCCGGTCTAAAGCCAGGAGCCTGGAGTTTTTCTGGGTTTCCCACATACAGGTGCAAGGGCCCAAGGACTTGGGCCATCTTCAGCTATCTTTCCAGGCACGTTAGCAGGGAGCTGGATCCGAAGTGGGGCAGCCAGAACTCAAACCAGCACCCACATGGGAAGCCAGCACTGCAGGCAGTGGCTTTACTTGCTACGCCACAGCGCTGGCCCTAATATATAAAAATCTTTAAAAAATAAAAAAAAAAAAGGTATCCCAAGATGGCGATGATCGTAGCCAACAAGTAGGGTGCGTTCTGAGTGCCAGTCGTTCATCCACAATGTCGATGAGTTAACACGTTCCGTGCTCACAGGAACCCATTGAGCCATCGTTATTTTTAGCCCTTATTTTACAAACGGTGCAGTTGTACCTAGCGATTTTCCCAGTGTCTTCCAACCAGCAATTGGTGGAGCTGGGATTTGACCCCAGGCGCCTTGCTCAAGCTCTGTGAGCAGAACTGCCTCACTCTGCCTTCCTGAAGAAGATGCAGTTACAGGGGTCCCTCCTAACCAGATGGCAGCTGTGCAGACCTCACCTTGTAGGAAACCTTTGCAGCGAGTGACCAGTTGTTTCCATGGCTGTCGTCTTGGTGTTGGAAGGAGGGAGAGAGAAGCCTATATCTCTGCAGTCACATAAGAACGCTGTCCCCACACAGTCCAGGGAGACTTAGGCAGAGTCCTTCCCTTGTCCTGACCATCTCCCAGATCTTGATTGTTCAGGTTCCTGCATCACTGATTCTGTGCTTCCTCCTGCTGGTTGACAAGGAGAACCTGCGTAGGACCGTCTGCTCTTTGGGTGGATATGAGTGAGTCTTTTGCCTTCCATGAGCTCCTTGAGGACTTAATGGGGTTCATCAGACCAACCATTTCTTTAGGGGACTTCTGCTTCTTGAGACAAAGGAAAGTAATTTTGGAAAGGGAACACTCGGCTACGTGTGAAAATAAAACCATACTCGAGACGTTGTTTGCTGATGTCTGGTTGCTTTAGAAGATTCCACCGTATGTGTGCTGTGTGCCCCACTTTACTGTGTACCCATCGGGGCTGTGCCCATTGAGGAGCTTGCCTCTGCGACCCCATGATTGGCATGGCTGTAGCTATGCAAATCAGATACAGTTTGTTGTCTCTGGAATTAAAAAGGTGTATTGCCATTGGTTGAAGAGAGAACAGAGGGTAGTACCATTGGCTGTCTGTCTTTAAAATTTTTTGACAAACACGCTCCCTCCACTCCCTTCTCTGTGAGATCATATTCTATCCCTCCTCTTGACAGCCTGCCTTCTTCCACATGTTGATAATTTCTTGCTCCTTTATTTATTTTCATTGTATTTGAGAGGCAGAGAGGCAGGGGTCGCCCATCTGCTGTTTCACTGCCCAGATGCCCACAACAGCCAGAGATGGGCCGGGTCAAAGCCAGGAGCCTGGAGCTCCACCAGGCCTTTCCCATGAGTGCCAGGCACCCAGGTGTCTGAGCCATTGCTTGCTGCCACTCAGGGTGTACCTCAGCAGGAAGCTGACTCAAGACAGGGAGCCAGGACTGGAATGAGGCACTCGGGTGTAAGACACGGGTGTCCCCAAAAGGCGGCTTAACCACTGTGCCAAAAGCCCACCAGTCATTTAATAGCTTGACCCCCCCCCCACCACACACACACTAAAATGAAGTTTCATGAGGGCAGAAATTTCTGAGTCAAGTTCATTGCTACATACCTATTATCCCATGTCTGTCGTCGTATTCAGTGTTTATTGCAGGTTACTCAGTACTGATTGAGTAAATGAATTTTCCCATGTTTATTTTAGGACATAGAATACAGTGAGGGGTTCCCTCCCTAGTGCGGCCCCTTCCCCAAATCAAATTGCCTTCTCTAAGTCCTCGCAGATAATCAGTATTGTGAACTTGATATCTATCATTTTCGTGCATTTTTATGTATTTTTCTCTGTATTTGCATTGCTTTTCCAGTATAGAGTTATTTGAAGGCTTCTGAGTTATTTATATAAGTGGCAGCATAACCTTTCAGAGGGACTAGGGGACAAACCCGGGTACACCCTGGTGTGACTCGTACACAGAGCTCGCCCAGACGCTGTATGAGGAGGACTTGGTGTGTGCCTCGAGTGCGTGCTGAAACTAGCAATGTGATTTCTGTCCCGGACAACAGGTAAGTATGAACAACGTTGAGACGGCCTGCCATGCTCAGTGAAATCTTTTTTCTTCCCTTAGTTGAGACGGGAGAAGATTGACCTTGAAAATACCTTGGAACAAGAACAGGAAGCACTAGTGAATCGTCTCTGGAAAAGGATGGATAAACTTGAAGCAGAGAAGCGGTTTGTGTAGTCTTCTGTTCCGTGTGTGTCTAAGAGCTGTTCTGGGTGTGACGGAGGAATGACCATGGGACACCCGAGTCCCGTGGGTGAAACACAGCATTTTGATTTGCCAAGGAAGCACATGTTGAACCTTGAAATGTTCTCATGTTCGTCTTCCCTTTATTCTTTGCTCCCTTACTGTCCCTGTAGAATGCGTTTTTCTCAGGCATTCCAGGGCTGCATTGGGATAGTCCTACTGCTCTTGTAAATTGTACGTAGGATAGTTGCGTTTTCAGCTTTCCACATTATTGAAATGCCTTTCTCCACTGTTTTTAAAAAGGTTTATTTATTTGAGAGACAGAGGATGTGATATCTTCTGTCTGCTGGTTTATCCCCCAAATGGCTGCAGCAGCAAGGGATCAGCCAGGCCAAGGTCAGGAGCCGTGAACTCCATCTGGGTCTCCTTGTGAATGGCAGAGACCCAAGTATTGGGGCCATCATCTGCTGTCTTCCCAGACGCGTTAGCAGGAAGTTGGATTGGGAGTGGACCATCCAAGGGCTCAGACTGGCACTCAGTGTGGGATGCTGGTGTCAGAAGCAGCAGGGTAACCTGCGGTGCCACAACGCTGAGCCCTCCGTTGCTTCCTGAAGTACATAGGATGGACGATGTACTGTTGGTTGTTAGCACAACTCTAGAATTTACCTCCTTCGGAAAGCTGAGATTCTAATGGAAAAAAATGCTACCTATTTGTGTTATAATCGGTAATGAGATACCTGCACATATTTAAGGTGACGATTATTCGGATGTGAAATGTCACCCGGCAGTCGCATGTCTTGCACCCCTGGTGCAGTGCAGTGCCTTGCCCTTTTTTCCAGCACTGTATACTTTGGAGGTGGGGGGGGGGGGAGGACAGAGCCTGTAAGGCTGGAAGGAATGCTCTGGTTGTGGGGTGAGTGTATGGGTGTGAAGAGTGCGTTTCTTGGGAGTGTTCCTGAGTCCACTTCACCCAGGTCTTTTTGTTTACTTCCTGGACTCTGCCTTACGTATTTGGTTTGGATGCACATTTATAAATTATTTGGAGTACATCTCTAAATTTGAAAATCACAGATTATATCACATAGCTTTAAACAAAGTGAAAATCAGAAGTATATCTCCAGGAAATAATTAAGCTATAATTGAATCAGCTATATTTTATATTGTAGTGAAGTTATTTTATTTTATAAAATAAAATTGTAGTGAAGTTATTTTAATTTATAAAAACGTAGAGACAATTAAAATATTTGACGCATTAGTTTTCTCAGTAAGGGAAGAGATAATTTGCAGTGTGTATTTGGGTAAACTCAAAGCTAAAAATCTAAAAATAAAAGCACAGGGCAGGCATTGTGGTGTAGTGGTCAAGCCGCTGCTTGGGCCCCCTGCATCCTGTATTGGAGTGCCTAGGTTCTAGTTCCAGCTCTACTTCCACTCCAGCTTCTGGCTAATGTGCACCATCGGAGGTAAGAGATGATGGCTGAAGTACCTGTGTCCCTGCCACCCACGTGTAAGACTGGCTCCGGGCTCTGGCTCCTGGCTCCTGGCCTCAGACTGGCCCAGTCTTAGTTATTGTGGTCTTTGCATCTGGGGGGTGAACCAGCAGATAAAAGATCTCTCTCTCACTCTCTCAAATACAGAAAAATAAACTTTAAAAAATTAATAAAAGAAAACCAGAAACTCCTTATAGAATGAAATCGGGACTCAGTGACAGTTAGGTTGTCACTTCACGGGTCAGAAGCTCCTGGGGAAAACAGGGTTGGGCATTTGGCACACTGCTTCAGATCCCACTTGGGACACCTGCATCCCATATAAGAGTGCCTGGTTTGAGTCCAGGCTCCACCCTAGGAGGGAGCAGGTGAGGACTCAACTGTTTGGGTCCCTGCTACCCACATGAGAGACCCAAATTGAGTTTTAGCTTCTTGGCTTCCTCCTAGACAACCCTGGTTGTAGTAGAGGAGATCTGTTTCTGCCTGTCTTTGTCTTTCAGATTAAAAAAGCTATTGAATATCAGCAAGTTACATGCTTCAGCCTAACAATGATTGGAGAAGGTGGTATCACCTGTTATTAGTCAAATAATTTTGGGTCAGTTTGTGGTGTTTTTCTTTTTTTTCCTTTTTTTTTTTTTAGTTAATTTATTTGAAAGGCAGAGTTAGAAATCTTCCATTTGCTGGTTTATTCCCCAGATGGCTGCAATAGCCAGAGCTGGGCCAATCTGAAGCCAGAAGCTTCTTCCAGGTCTCCTACGAGGGTGCAGGGGACCAAAGGCTTGAGCTGTCTTCTACTGCCTTCCTAAGGCGCATCAGCAGGAAGCTGGATGGGTAGAGCAGCCAGGACTTGAACTGGCACCCATATGGGATGCCAGCACTGCAGGTAGTGGCTTTACCCGTTATGCCAGCCCCAGGGTCTGTTTTGTTGTTGTTGTTGCTGTTTGTTTTTATTTGAAAGCTCAGAGGGGGCTGGAGGGAGACAGAGAGAGAGAGAGAGAGAGAGAGATTGATCTTCCATATGATGGTTCCCCAAATGCTCACAATAGCCAAGGCTGGGCTAGGCCACAGACAAGAGCCTGACTTTCCATGTGAGTCTCCCATGTAGGTGACAAGGACTCGGGTACTTGAGCCATCATCTGCTGCCTTCCCAGGAGCATTAGCAGGAAGCTGGGTCGGAGGCAGGGTAGCTGGGACTTGAACCAGGCACTCTGATAGGAGATGCAAAGATCCTAAGCAGTGGCTTAACCCATTGCACCACAATGTTCAGACCCCAGTTTTAATTTTGTTTTTAGATTTTTACTTTTACTGTGGACAGAAGCAAAGGGTCCCCAGGCCATTTTGCCATGTGCTTGTGATGGTTTTTGCAGGAAGAAATTTTTTAATTTTTTTTAACCAGCATAGTTATAGATAGAGAGTAGAGAAAGGTCTTCCTTCTGTTGGTTCACCCCCGAAATGGCCTCTACGGCTGGTGCTGCGCTGATCTGAAGCCAGGAGCCAGGTGCTTCCTCCTGGTCTCCAGGGTGCAGGGGCCCAAGTACTTGGGCCATTCTCCGCTGCCCTCCCGGGCCACAGCAGAGAGCTGGACTGGAAGAGGAGCAGCCGGGACTAGAACCTGGTGCCTGTATGGGATGCCGGCACCGCAGGTGGAGGATTAACCAACTGAGCCATGGTGCCGGCCCCTTCAGGAAGAAATTTTAGAAGTTGAGTTTATTTTTGTTAATTCACCCTCTAAGGAGATTCATAATAGCTCAAAAATTTCAGCTGAAAATATTAGGAGAGCAGAATTTAGTATTTAGTATTCCCATAACTGACACCCAGCATGTTGACTATGTAGTCAGCCGATATTTCTGAGGGCCTCCTGTGTCCGGGCTTAATAAGCAGAACCAGATGTTAAATAGAGACTTCACCACGAGTACTTATACCCAGTGGTCATTTCCAGCTGCAGCAGAGAGTAGATCCTACTGCTCCGCCCTGAGCCCTGAGATACCAGGAAAGGGTGACCAGAAGTTGATGGCAAATGGACAGGAGAGTGAAGTAGCCGTATGGACTCTTGATGATGAGCAGGAACTTGCCTTTAAAACAAGCCCTCCACCTAGTATGTCACTTTGTCTTTTAAAAGCAAACTGTCTCTCATTGTCGGTCTCTGTCTTTTCAATGAAGAATCCTGCAGGAGAAACTAGACCAGCCCGTCTCTGCACCCCCGTCGCCTAGAGATATCTCCATGGAAATTGATTCTCCAGAAAACATGATGCGCCACATCAGGTTTTTAAAGAACGAAGTGGAACGGCTCAAGAAGCAACTGAGAGCGGCCCAGCTTCAGCGTACGTAGCCTCTGCTTCCACAGCCCCCGCCTTCAGAGCTGTTAGCTCTCTGTGGCAGGAACCTGTTTGCAAGATAACGCGGCATTACCAATAGTCACTGCTGAAGTTGCTTTTATCAAGTCTGTGTGTTTTATACTTGATTATGTAGAATCATCATCCCATGATAGTTTTTTTTAAGGTATTGTAATAGGGGAGGGTAAGCAGGCTAGAATGCTTCCAGACAATAATTCAGATGATTTCAGTGTGGCCCAGAATCACAGGCAGTATTTTTAACTTCCTTCCCCCGCATTCATCTCTAGGATCGTGCTAACAAAGGTAGCACAGGAGACCTCAGCGCACTGTGGGATATTAAGGCAGAGGGGACAGAGTGTTTACCTTCCTTAACTTCCTTACCACAGTTAGCCTGGGCTGACATTTGTTCGTGGTATTTGAAGAATAAACGCTTCGGAAATTTATACTCACATCTTTCGGAAAAGGCCAAGATGTTGAATTGGAAAGCAAAGGAGCTAGATTTCTCAATGTTTGATAAGTCCCTGTGCATTTTCTTGGCTCTCTCCTGTTTCTGCTTGTTGGCTACTCCCCGCTCGTATGGTGCAAGCTTCATAGTGAAAAAAAGAAGTCTCCCTCTCATCTCTATCTTCAGCCACCCAGTTTGCCCACAAGTGCCTGGTTTTACTGTATTCTCCAGGATGTATTCTGTGTATGTGTATAAAATTCTTTTATGCAAATAGTAGTGCAGTATTGATACTATTTGCACCTTTCTATTTTCATATAAGCCTTGTAGGTTTTTCTGCCCAGCCGCTAGTCACAGAATGGCCTCAGTGCCTCGGTCCTCACTGTAAAGGCTCCAGGGTATTTGATTCTGCAGATTCACTGCAGCTTAACCAGGTTTCTCCCAAGGAACTTTAAAAAAACAAAACGAGATTTTCCATCCGCTGAATGACTTCCCAAATGGGCACAACAACTAGGTCTGGGCCAGGCTGAAACTAGAAGCCAGGAGCCTCTTCCTGGTCTCTCATGTGGGTGCAGGGGCCTAAGTACTTGGGCCATCTTCTACTGCTTTCCCAGGCACATTAGCAGGGAGCTGGATCAGAGGAGGCACAGCTGGGACTGGAGCTGGTGCCCATACAGGATGCTGCACTACAGGCAGAGACCCAACCCTCTAGCCCCTCCCCCAAGGGGACCCTTTTGATTGTAAGGCTGCAACTGTGTGAGCATCTCTATACACGTCAGGGAGTTCCGTGAGAACACGTTCAGGGCAGATGCCGGGAAGTCGGCTTGTTGCATCCCATGGGATGTGCATCTCCCAGTGAACAGGGGTTCTTTTCTTTATGTTTTCTTCTCTGAAGCTCTTGGCAGGTTCTAGTCCAGTGGTCCACCTGGAATAGCGACTCAGGATCATCCCTGGAACCTTTAACAAGTGTGACGTGTTAGTTTCCTGTTTGTACTGTAACATGTTACTGGCTCAAAAAATACAGATTCCTTATCCGGTGGTTGTTGAAGTCAGAAGTCTGAAATGGAGTTTGCTGGGCTCGTGTTGAGTTGTCAGCAGGGCGTGTGCTTCTGGAAGCTCTAGGTGAGGATGTCTGCAGGCCTTGGCTCAGGGCCCCTTTATAGCAGTGGCATCACTCACACCTCTGCTTCTGTGGGCACATGTCCTTTCCACTCTGCCTCCCCAACCATCCAAGATCATAATCTCCCCATCTCAGAACTCCTAACTTACATCTGCAAGGTCCCTTGTGTCATATAAGGCAGTAGCATTTACAGGTTCTGTAGATGAGCATGTAGAAGTCATTAGGGGACCATCATTCTAACAACACAGGGTTACAGCCAAGGTCCTCTGATTTTTATTTTTTATTTTCCTTAATGACAAGCAATTCTGCATGTACCTCTGGTTACTAACTCCCCCATGCAGGCATGAAAACGAGATGCAGCAAGGTCATTTTAACCTGTTTTTGAGGTTTTGTGTTTGTATTAGGTAGACAGATATTTCTTGGCCCCTTCTTGAACTCTGTCCAATCCTGTCAGTTTACCTTTGTCTTCCTCATTTATACTTCCCTTGTGGGCCTTGTGGAAAGGAGGAAATCTCCTTGTCTTTTACTCGCTCTGTCCTGCACTGTTTATCTTTGAAGAGACTGGAGATGGCCGCCGTGGGCATCTGTATGTGCTGTTTGGTTCTGTGAAAACAGAAGCTGAACCAAAGCAGCAGCAGGTGGCAGGTGGCAGCTTGCGGTGGCTTTGAGTCTGACCTCACGGATGAGTTACTGACTTTTCTTGCCCATCTGTCCTGCTCTGCTTGGGTCAGATGACCTGTACCTCCTTTAGATGTACCCATGGCAGGTAGCTCCTTACCCTGCAAGCCCAATTGCACTTGAACTTGAACCTTTCTCTCAGTAGTCAACTCTCTTTGAACATGGGAGCCCCTGGGGCATTTTTAACACACCAGCGGGCCAGGCCTCTGCCTCAGGGCTGCTCATGCGGCTGGCTTGGGGTGGGGAGTGGGCTTTCCCAGTTCCTAATCATAAGCTTGAAAGGGAGTACAGCATGGACAGGCCACCCTGGAACCCTTAGGGACCATCTCTTGAATCGCTCACCCTCCATCGACATTCTCTTTGACTACATACTGAGAGGTGGCTGAAGATGGGGGAAGTACTGGCAGAAGCTGTGGACTAGGGAGCTCTGTGAGCAAAGGACTCAGGCCAGTAAATGCACACAGTGTGTGTTTGGCCAGCAGAGGGCAGCCGAGGAAGGCCATGGGCCAGGCATCTGTGTCCATGACATCCAGAGGTGTGGCACCCGTTGAGTTCTCTGTGCCTCAGGCTACTGGGTTACAGGCTGAATTTCTAGGAAGTCTTCCAACCCGGGACTTTCTTGCCTGTAGGAGATGCTCAGGGATCTTCCTGCAGTTGCCCCAGGTGCTCAAGACCTGTTGTTTTCTGTGAAAGTGTTTCCTCTTCCACGATTGTTCTTGGAGCCTTATGAACCTGCAGTTCTGGGAAGCTTTCCTGTTGATGGAAAAGAAAGGTGACTTGCTCTAACAGTCACTCTTCTTGTTCTAGAAACAGAAAATACTCCCAGGGGCCAGTCGAGTGCTTCCTGGGGAGCTAAGTGGAAAATCCTGCATTCTTGCATATTTGGGAGGAAATAATTTAAATCATTTATATTAAAAGTGTACTTTGTAAATATTTTCCCTGCATGCCTTCAATTAAAGAGATTTCTGTGTCTGGATTAGGCAGCAGGGTTTCTGGCGATATTGAAAACAACTGTGAGGGATTTAGGGTTTAGAGCACAAAATAGTGTTTTTAATGGTTGTCGTGTTTTTATATTTGAATTTCTAATATAAGCATTCTGGACCTTTTAAGTAGTCTGTAATGATGCTGTCCTGAAAGTCATTTTTTGCTGACATGCCAGAACTTCAGAAAGTTGCTTAAGACTGGAGCTCATTTGATAGTTTCTGGGAATCGAAGTAGGGTCAGTTGGTAGAGAAAGGGTGTCAGTGTGGTGTCCAGTTCCTCCGTGACCCAGGTGGTAATGTGGAGCAGGCACCCACAGGAAACTCCTGGGTGTGCTCACGGCTGCTCTGAGGTTGTGACTGTTTTTCAGAAGAGAAGTACATGCAGATTGTCCTTTTGCCAAGTTCATAGGGAACAGTAGATTGTGTAGTAGGTAAACCAGAGGGCTGCAGCCATGGTGGGGGTGGGGCAGGTTTTGCCTTTTATGGGCAGGGAGCTGGAGAGTGGCCCAGAATCCTCTACAGAGCAGCTTCCGAAAGGCAGGGGTTGTGACAGCTCCGAGACTGCGCCACACACAGGGCCGTGCGCCATCGCAGCTTCCTGGGAGGATCCCCGCGGCTCGGCCTGGCTCCAGCGGTGGGCGTGCCAGGGAGGGTGAGTCTCCCACAGCTGGCTGGCCCTTGTTTGGAGCCGTGAGGCCGCCGATGGTGTCCAGAAGGTAGGGTAGCCTGTGGGCACAGTCTGTGTTCCCAGCCAGGCTCCCCCGCTCTCCCAGCTGCAGCAGCGCAGAGAAGGGCTCCAGTAGCTGCCTCGGACAACTCGGTCACCTGGCCACTTTCTCCACTCAGCACTCGGTCACCTGGCCACTTCCTCCACTCAGCACTTCAGAATGCGAGTGAGAGGGAGGGAAGGTGCCTCACCTCCCAGCACTGCCTTTTCTTTTTTTAATGCAGATTGTTGGTACACTTTGTTACTTGGGATACACTTTAAATCCAAACCTCATCCGTGGGAACCACTGTCTCAGAACAGCTCCCTATGCCTGTGGCGTTCAGGCCAGACTGAAACCTGGGTAACCCCTCCCTCCCTCCTTTTTTTCTTAATGTGGGGATGCTCGCACGGAGTGTGGCTGAGTTCGGGACTCTGGCCTTGCAGATTCGGAGAAGATGGCCCAGTACCTGGAGGAGGAGCGCCACATGCGGGAGGAGAACTTGAGGCTGCAGAGGAAGCTGCAGAGGGAGATGGAGAGAAGAGAAGCCCTGTGTCGCCAGCTGTCCGAGAGCGAGTCCAGCCTGGAGATGGACGACGAAAGGTACGCGGTGCCCAGGACTCGCAGAAACCCCGCTTGTGTCCTGCTAAATACGGAGGGAGCCGGCTTCGACGTGTGGCGCAGTTCCTGCGATGGCGAATGCCGCCACCTAGAAGTAGATGCTGAGGTTGGGGTAAATGAAGAAGATTGTCTTCCTTAAAGCAGAAAAGGGGGGAATTGCACTTCTAGAATGACCGGGTGAGAAGAGAAACGGAGGCATGGTTGTGTGTAGAAAGGCAGCGAGGTTTGCCTTTGCTGTTGAAGGAATCTGTTCTGTTGCCACAGTGCAAAGCATGAGCAAGTCTTCATCTCTACATTATTTAACAAGCAAGCTGTTGTGTGGTGTAGGTAAACAAATGCATCCATGGAAAAACCAGCAGGAAACAGGTGGAGTTTGTTGAAATCCCAAGGACTTGCCTTAACCCAGTTGGTAACTTTTTAACCGTTTTTGTGGCTACTTTTTTTTTTTTAAAGATTTATTTATTTATTTGAAAGTTATAGTTAGAGAGAGGAGGAGAGGCAGAGAGAGAGATCTTCCATCTGCTGGTTCACTCCCCAGTTGGCCGCAATGGCCGTAGCTGTGCCAATCCAAAGCCAGGAGCTAGGAGCTTCTTCTGGGTCTCCCACCTAGGTGCAGGGGCCCAAGGACTTGGACCATCTTCCACTGCTTTCCTAGGCCATGGCAGAGAGCTGGATCGGAAGTGGAGCAGCTGGGACTTGAACCGGAGCCCATTTGGGAAGCCGGCACTGCAGGCAGCTGCTTTACCCACTGCACCACAGCACCGACCCCTGTGGCTACTCTTTTGAGATGGAGATGGAGGAACAGAGAGTTCCCAATAATGGGTTCACTCACCAAACACCTGCAGCAGTCTGGACTGGGCCTGGCCAAAGCAGGGAGCCAGGAACTCAACTTGGGTCTCTTCTGTGGGTGACAGAACCCCACTAACTTGAGCTGTCACCACTGCCCTCCAGGGTCTGCATCAGCGGGAAGCTGGAGTCAGGAGTTTGAGCTAGGTGTGAAACCCAGGTACTGCAGTGTGGGACGTGGGCATCTTAACTACTAGGCTACGCACCCACCCTGCTGCTCCTGTTGGGAAGTTAACTAATGCATTGTCTGCAAGCCTAAGCGTCAAACTACCTCATTGCTGCCCTGTGAATGGCTGAAAGCACAGTTTCCCTTTGGCTCGCTGGAGGAAATGGCCTCAAGGTTTGTCTCCCACCCACAACCCCACCTCCTCTTCCTCTTCGTCCTCTACACTTGGTGGAAAAGGTGGTTATTAAGGTAAGCAACAGTCTAAACTGAGCACACTTCCAATCGGCCAAGAAACCCAGCAGTTGGAGAATTAGCCTTTCTTGTTCGTGCAAGGAGAGTCCCTGTTGTGGATCGGGTTGTCTGGCCTCAGCTGAGTCAGAGCTCAGTGTGGGAAGTGAGGCTACCCATCCTGGGCCCCCAGTTGCCTCCAGGACTGCACAGCGACTCACCCCCCCCCCCCCCCAGGACTGCACAGCCCATGTCTGCAGCCTGGGGCCCCACATGGCTGTTACACTGTGACAAATCCTGTTGTCTTGATGGCAAAACATGTTGCCGAAAAACATCAGCATTGTTAGTGTATCAGCCGATGGTTTCTGATTCTGTTATAGAACAGATTGCCAGGGCTAAGAAAGCTTTGGGTCAATTTGCTGTGTATGATTCCACAAAAACGGGGGAGATTTTTCTAGAGTGAAAGCCTGTATTTTTGTAATGAGGGAAAGAAATGTGAATGCAGTAATAGGTTATCCTATTTAAGTACGTGTGTGTGTACTTTCTCGTTTAAACAGAATAAACATCATATTTGTCAGAGCTGGTATCATAAAGCTGACAGCTGTATTCTAAACATCGCTGATTTATCTATGACAGTTTCCTCTTCTCTAAAATCTTCTGAGAAGCCTTTGAGAACGTCGGGTAGCCTGCTAACCCGCTTCTCAACCGCTTTGCGAACCACCTTACGACCCAGAGCAGAGCAGGTCTTAACTTCCCGGAGTCCTCCACCCTAGATTTGAACAGGACACTCTGGGGGCAGTTTCTTCGGAATGTCCTGACAGTCCTGAAGCTGCTCCGGGAGTCCAGGTAAATACTTTCTCCCCCAAGCGGGTGCTCGCCCAGTCCAGAAGACGCGCTTTCCCTGTGGTCAGCCAGCTGATCCCAGCAGAGTGCAGCTGCCGGCGAATACCCCTCTGCCTGCTAGGACTGGTGAGAGTGCACTTAGGAGGAAGACGCATGCCAGGGCCAGCGCTGTGGCGGAGCAGGTGAAGCCACTGCCTACAGCGCGTGCGTCTCATGGGCACTTGTTCGAGTTCTGCTGCTCCGCTTCCCATCCAGCTCCCTCCTAATGCATCTGGGAGAAGCGGCAGAAGTTGGCTCAAGTGCTTGGGCTGTTGCACCTATGTGGGAGACAACGGATGGAGCTCCTGGCTCTGGCTGTAGCCTGGCCCAGGCCTGTTGCAGCCATCTGGGGGAAGTGAACCAATGGATGGACGATCTCTGTCTCTGTCTCCCTCCCTCCCTGGTTGTAACTCTAAATTTCAAAATCAATAAACCTTTTTAAAAACAAAAGCAAGTAGTCTGCCACTTGAGATGGCCTTAGCCGCCTAGGAGAGATAGAAAGCAAGGAAAAGCTACCCACGCCCAGTGCCTCTGTGGTGGGCTGCTCTAGAGAGATTAAGGAGAATTAACAGCGAAGTCCAGTTGAGGTGCTTGTCAGAGTAGGGAACCTGGTTTTGTTCAAGTCACGTAGTCCTGCATAGACAAGGCTGTGTCAGGGTTCCTCAGGTGAACTTGGCTGGATGCCAGGGCTGAGATGCTGTCTGGGAGAAATAAAGGTGGGTGCATGGCCTAAAGCAGAAGTTTGCGCTGGCCAGCGCTCCGTGCCGGGGACACACAGAGTGAAGGTGGTATTCCTGGTGACCACACGTCGGCATTCTCGGGCCACCTGTGGCTTCCCAGTGCAGGAAGACGTGGGGCTCAGCTCTGTGCAGCCAAGCCCGACCTGCCTGCCTTCTGTTACCGTCTGCTGGGGGACAGTTTGCGAATAAGCAAGCCTTGCTTTGTGAACAGTTGCCGTTCAATTCCCGGGAATACGTCTCTTTAAGCTTTGAGTTAGCAACATAAATCTCAGAAAGCTTGCTTGGTTTCCAGTTTCAAATAAGAATTTAAGTGTAGTCGTGGAAAGGTGGATGTGTTTAGAAGTCTTGGGCCTTGGAGGTGATTTCTGCACGGCTGGTGTGTGATGGAGGAGTCCTGTTCGTCTTTTATATGGCCCAGCTCTGTCACCAGGCCTCCATGCTGAGCTAAACCCACCTGGATTCCCTGCCCTGCCCTGCCCTGCCCCTCTGTGGGTGAGCTTTGCCCAGCAGTGGAGCCATGTGATTCCCAGTGACAATGTCTCTCTGCACCCGAGAGCTCTCTTAAGAACTGCTGTCATGCCGCCAGTTTTGATTGTTTCTTCCTCTTCCAACCTAGGTATTTTAACGAGATGTCTGCCCAAGGATTAAGACCTCGCACTGTGTCCAGCCCAATCCCTTACACTCCTTCTCCGAGTTCAAGCAGGCCCATATCACCCGGTGAGTGCGTCGCTCGGGCTCCCCCAGGGCCTGGGTTCCGGCCCATTTACTCGGCGGCTCTGTGACGTTCCCTTCTAGCATATAAAAATCGTGTAAACAGAGAGGTAATGGCCATATGTTTCTCAAAAACAGACCACTCTCAAGACTGAGAGCCTTATCTTGAAAAGGGTGAGCGTAAATGCTGTGGTGCAGCTGCTGTCTCGCTGTAGTGTTTCCTTCCCCACCTAAAAGGAGTCCAGCTGCAAGGTTGTTTTTTGAAAGAACACCATCTTTGACTGTGATTTGGAGAGTTCATGGATGCACAGAGTCCTGGGGTGGGTTTCCAAGTTGCCTCAGAGCTCACCCTTTAAGGTTTTTTTTGTTTGTTTGTCTGTTTTTGTTTTTGCTGTGTTCCGCATCGGGTACCACATTGTTTATCCTCCGACTAATGGATGCAGGCATCGTTTTTCCCGTGGTAAAGTTGAGGAAGCAGCAAATCAGAGGTTTGCTAACTACCGGCCACACAGCCAGGACGTGCCCAGGCAGGGTGTGTCTGTTTCCCAAGCCCATGCTCTGTCCAGCGGCAGCTGCCTCCGAATATTTTCCAGGGATTCGGGAGTGGACTGGGGTCAGGCAGTCCGCTTCTGGCTTTGCTCTCGGGCGCCTTTCCCTCAAAGGCACGCTTGTCTTCAGCTGATCCCAAGAGCTCCCTCTCCGGGTCTCTGGCTCAGCACCAGCGCTGCGTGAGGTTCGGGCCAGGAGGGCAAGTTAAATGATCCAGCCAGGGAGAGCGAGGAAGCTGGCAAGTGGAGCAGGGGGAGGGAAGAGGAGGTAGCAAGCCAGGGGATCGCATCTTGTGACCAAAGTGATGAGACTGAGTTTCTGGTGCCTGCTGGTAAACAGGTTTTAAGCAGTTGGGGAACAAAGCATGTGGGGGTGGAGAGAGGGTGATGCAGGAGGCCTTTCAGAGTAGATGGGAGTGAGGCGGCCGCTTGCAGGGGCGAGGGGTGAAGATTGTGTAAGACACCTTCACACGAGCCAGGGCGGGGAGGGTTTATTTTGTGAAAGCAATTCGAATGAGGCCGGCCTTGAGGTTGAGAAGGGGAGATAGTGCCGCGATGCAGGCTGCCCGTCGCGGCTGGGTTTTGTGGGTTTAGGATACAGCCCAGCATCATACTGTTGAGACCTTTAATTCTTTTCTTCCTCTATCTGTCTGTCTGTCTGTCTCCTGAGAGAAAATCAGAGGTAGAATCCCAGACGCAGAGGGGCAGCTATTGTACACGTAAGGGCCAGCAGGCGAGGGCCAGAGGGGCCTGATGACAAACCACAGGGACTTCCTGTTAGGGCTCAGTGGCACAGTTGGGGTCGTCACCCCCTTGTTCCCACTGCAAGGATCTTCCTGAACCGGCTCCTCCCGCGGGCCCCAAGTCTCTACCCACAGCGTCTCTTCCTAGCTGCCTCTCAATTTTCTCAGAATAGCACTTGGGTTTCATTACCATGATAAAGGACTTTTTTTTTGCCTTCAGATTTATTGATGTCAAGGAAGGCCTGTGTCAGGAAGAAGCAAGAGGGAGGGTTATTTTTTACTTGATGTGTGATGCTGATTCATGTTAAGTATAATTTAATATCCTGTTTGACTTATTTAAACCTAAAGAACGCCTTAGAGCATGGACTCTCCAATAGGTTAAAAAGAATGTTAGAGTCATAAAAAGCGAAACAAAATGTGAGCTTTTAGTTGGGAATATTATTTCTCTTATAAATATTCTGCAGGAATATCTGTTCCCTTTATATAATTTTCACTTTCACTGCCCCTGGCCCTTAATGAGACCTACTTCAAGTTTGGATAAATATGCTATTTGGTTTTTCCTTAAACTATGTAATGAGTAACACCTAGTTTGGTTTCCCTTTCAGCTAGCCTAAATATGTTTATCCTGAGTTCTATAATAATATCAAAGTAGAGCTTTCTCTCCTATTTGGCAGCAGAACTACTGTGTGCTAATCTAGTACGTTGCAGTGCTGTACCTAGATCAGCGAGACCTAGATACTCCAATTTTTCTTTTTTATTTTGGTTTTTATTGAAGAGTTTGTGATTCTCAGTATTAAGAGTGTCCACCACTTCCTTAGTGGAAATATGCTGTTCATGTTGTTTTCATTCCATTCCAAACATGGTAGCTCTTCTTCCGCTCTTCCCAGTTTGGGTTAACATTGGAAATCTTGGCCTTTCATTAACTTGTTGGAATATTTCGTACCCTATTTCATAATTTGTTTAAAAGATACATATTCTAGAACTTAGGATAGCGCCTCTTCTTGATTGCGTGTGTGAATTATGTATGGAAGAGTGTTACTCTTCAATAGTTACCTTTCAAGTTGTCCATTATTTTATGCAGCCTGGAAAGAGAACATTCTCACCTAACATGTCTTGTTGTATCTCAGTCGGGGAAGGGCAGTTGCAAGGTCTGAAAATAAGTCTATGTCCCAGTACCAGTGAGCCTGCCAGGCTCTCAGATCTTGGTTTCTAGTTCCATTCTCCAGTGAAAAGAATTAGGGCTACTTGGAGAGAAGAATGTTTCTAGGCCCGAGGCCTGAAATGTATATAATGAGCTTGAGACATCCTGCAGGGCAAGAAAGCAAGGGAGTGCTCCGAAGGCAAAGCCGTGGACGTTTGTCAGGTGGATACACAAGCTCCCCAGACACCAACACTGGGACAATTTGAGGGGTACAAGGAGTCATCTAGAATGTAATCCAAACATAAACACCCTAAGTCCATATTGAGACGAATAAATGACTAAATAAATAAAAAAGGAAGAATAGATATGTCTGTCATAGAATATTCCAATATGATGTACGTAGATTGTCCTCAAGGAAGTAGAAATAATTTTCCACTCCTAAGCATGTGCTGTGAGGCTGCAGTGTTTGGAGTTGAGTATCAGAGGAAAACCTTGCAAAGGGGGAGGCCAGAAAAGTAGAAAATGAGTCTAGGATGTCACTGAGGTTCCGACGGAGTGTTTCAGCGAGATGGGAGTGGTCAGCTGTGCCAGCCGCAGGGTCCATTGGGGCGAGGAGTGTGAGTTGGTGATTACGACAGGCAGAGCGGAACTGACTGCTGCCCTGAGCTGGAGCAGTTTTGATGCGGTGGCAGGGGCCAAAGCCAGATCAGGAGGATTCAGAGAAGAAATTATACTTGAATAATTTGGATTTTTACAATGAGAATGTTTTCATGTCCTATGTGTGTATGTAAAATAGTTTTAAAAGAGGAAAATGGTGACAGCTTCAGGTTGTTTCTGCAACTTTTTTTCTTTAACAAAGAAACATTTAATAAGTTTTGGGGCCATCAGAAGTTTATAAAGAGGCAGAATTAAAATAATCCAGAATCCTTTGAACCAAAGATGATGATATTTTACTGTTTTATGTGTCCCTCCCTCTTCCTCACCCCTTGCCATAAAAACTTTTGTGTTTTGCTTAGCTGCTTATTTTCATCTGCATTGGTTTTAATTCATTATCTTTTGAACTTGACAATGTAGTAGTGAAAATTATTTGTTGTTGTTGTTTTAGTCAGTGCATTTCCATATCAGAGCAAGAGAAGCTTATTTCAGCAACAGCTTCATAAAACACAGTGCAGGGGTATGCTTTATAACAATGTTGGTGTCAATGGTGTTGGTTCCCTAAGGTGATTGTGGAGCTGTAATATTGTTATCACCCGGAGATGAACAGCTGTTGTAACTTTGTATCCAGATTCATTACTCTTGTTTGCGGTGAGGAGCCTTTTTTTGCCAAGGGCCATTTGGATATTTATAACATCATTTGTAGGCCATACAAATTATCAGCTTAAAAACTAGCCTGCTGTATTGATTGAATTTCGAGTCCCATGTTTGGTTGCCTTGGCAGGCCCAGACTAGGTGATTGCACAGGCCTTGTAGGGGCCATGGGCCGAACTTCACCACCCCTGGTAAGCAGACCCGTCGCACTCCCAGTCATATACACGTATAGCATGTGCAGCCATGTGTACTGTGTGCTACTTGACAATAAATGACTAATGAGTAGATATTTACTGTATTTTTTATTTTATAGTGTACTCCTGCCACATATTTTCTAAAAGCTTCCTGTGAAACCATATGCTCTCTGATGCCCACAGAGTCTCATAGGTCTCATGCTTATCACATCTCTTGGTTACATCAAGAGGCCACTGTGAGGGCCAGCGTGGTGGCGTAGCAGGTTAAGTTCCTGTTTGCCATGCCAACGTCCCATGGAAGAGCACTGGTTGGAGTCCCAGCTGCTCCACTTACAATACAGCTCCCTGCTAATGCTCTTGGGAAAGCAGCAGATGATGGCCCGAGTACTTGGGCCCCTGCCACCCGTGTGGGAGACTCAGATGGAGTTCCAGGCTCCTGGCTTTGACCTGACCATTGAGGCCATTTCGAGAGTGAGCCAGTGAATAGAAGATCTCTTTTTCTCTCTCTCGGTGTGTGTGTGTGTGTTTCTCTCTCTCTCTAATTCAGCCTTTGACATAAATAAATCTTAAAAAGTTATGGAGATCTGAACACAGGTGTTCCCATACACACCCACACAAACAGATCACACTAAGTGACCTATACCATCTAGGTTTTTGTAAGTGCAGTCTGATGTTCACACAGTGTTGAAATTACCCAGTGATGTGTTTGTTAGAACAAGTCCCTGTCATTAAGCAGCACAGGATTTATTCTGTTTGGTAAGCTCGTGTTTTTAGGTTTCAGCCTACTATTTTTTTAATTCATATCCTTTATTATATTCCTAAACCAGAGAGGATGAGATACCTGATTATTAGAACTTAAGGGCAAACAAAAATGTAAGATTTCAAGAGCTATAATTAACACCAGGGCCGGCCTGGGGGAAGCAAGAAACTTTAATACAAGACCCAGAGTAATGACAGTGCCTCCATTCAGTGGAGCACTATTTGGCAATATTTAAAGGAGTTAATTGGGGCTGGGGTTGTGGTACACTGGGCTAAGCAGCTGCTTGGCATGCCCTCATCCATATCAGAGTGCCGGCTCAAATCCTGACTCCTCTGCTTCTAACCCAGCTTCTACGCCCCCCCCCCCCCTTTAAGGTTTACTTGAAAGGCAGAGTTAAAGAAAAGACAGAGAGAGAGAGAGAGAGAGAGATCTTCCATCTGCTGGCTTTCTCTCCAGATGGCCGCAACAGCCAGGGCTGGGCCATCTTAGTCTCCCTCATGGGTAGCAGGAGCCCAAGGATTTGGCCATCCTAATGATCCAGTTTCCTTCTAATGCATCCTGGAAGACAGCAGGTGATATCTCAAGAACTTGGGCCCCTGCCACCTTGATAGAGTTCTGGGCTCCTAGTTTCAGACTGGCCTAGCCCTGGCTGTCGCAGAACCAGCAGATGGAAGATCGCTTGCTCTTGCTTGCTCGCTCGCTCGCTCTCTCTTTCTCCCCCCACCCCCACAGGTTCTGCCTTTCAAGTAGATAAAAATAAACAAATACTTTAAAAAGAGAAAATTAATGCAACAACTTAGGTGATTACAGGGGTCATTATGCTGAAAAGAGCTCATCGCAACTGATTAGGTCTGAATCCATTTCTGCGGTGTTCTCTAAGCAACAAAATTGCAGTGATGTGAACAGATCAATCATTGACTCATTGCCAGGGGATAAGATTGGAGGGGACAGATTAAGCTGTACACATACAGACACCCACAGAGTACACTTGAGAACTGATAGAATCCAAATAAGGTGTAGACCTCAGTCACTAATGTTACAACAGTGTTAGTTCCTTGATTTTTTTTTTAAAGATTTTTTGTTTTGTTATTTGAGAGCTCCTGTCTGCTGGTTCACTCCCCAAATGCCAAGAGCATCAGCGACAGGGCCAGGCTAAAGCCAGGAGTCAGGAACTCAATCTGGGTCTTCCACGTAGTTGGAAGAAACTCAGTTGAGCCATCATCTCTGCCCTCCGAGGGTCTGCCATTAACAGAAAAGTGGAATCAGGAGCCAGAGCTGAGTATCAAACCCAGGATTCTGATATGGAGCATGGGTGTCTTAACCACGAGGCTAAATGCCCACCCAATTTCCTGGTGTTTGACAGTGCACTGTTGTGTAGTATATCATTGGAGGGAACTGGCTGAAGTATGCGGGGGGAAGATTGTAGTATTCTTGCCACTTCTTGTTTCAAAAACAAAAAGTTACAGTAATAATTTCAAAAATAACCCAAGGTGAAATAGTTTGCAAAGAAGTTCCAAGAAGAGGGAGCTGGCAGCTTCGGAGCGTTTGAGATGGGCCCGAGAGGGACCGATGAGCTAAAGCTCATTGAGCCTGGGCTTTGTGCCAGGCTGTCTTGAAGCACTCTGTGCCATGAACTCATGTCACTCTCAAGCAGCCTTGGGAGGTGGCTACAGTCATCCCAGTTGACTGTCCAAGAATCCGAAGCGCAGGGAGATGAAGTAACTTGTCCACGAGGGCCCGGTGCCAAGAGCGGAGCTGCGATGCGAGCTGATCTGGCCGTCTGGCTCCAGAGTCTGGGCTCTTTGCCTCTCCGGAAGGTGAGAGAGGCAGTGGGACCCTGGAGGGAGGCCGGGGCAGGTGAAGAGAGGGCATTCCCAGACACAGGGCAAGTTTGGAGAGAGATGGGAGTCTGGCTTAAGAGCAGGAGGCGCACCATGCTTCTGGTGGCCCGGGGCCCGGCTCCCCTGCGGTTCTGATCTGTTTGGGTTGGGGTAAAGTCTGCAGGCAGGGCTTGAGTATCTGTTCTAGAGAACCACTGACCACTGGCATCAGAAGACGGTTTGAAACTAAATGCAGATGTTCTTTATGACGCAGGGGGTTTTGTTTTAAGATAGCCAAAGGGTGGGCATCTGGCCAAGTGGTTAAGTCACTACTTGGGACACCCACGTCCCGTATTCAAGTCCTGGCTCCAGCCTGGCTTCCTGCTAATGCACACCTTGAGAGGCAGCAGATAAGCACTCAAGTGTTTGGATCGCTGCCACCCACGTTGGAGACCTGTGTGACGCCTAGCTCCTGGCTTTGGCCTGGCCAGGCCTGCATGTTGCAGGCGTTTGGGGAATGAATCAGTGGATAGAAGATCTTGAGCATTTCTGTGCCTGCTCACTCGCTCTTTCCCTCCCTCCCTCTTCCATTTCCTCCCCCTCCTTCCCTTCCTCCCTCCCTCTCTGCATTCAAAATGAAATGAACATAAATCTATGTAAAAAGCTATATAAGGAATAGTGAGTCTTTGAAGATGCTTGGTTATTGGCATCCTATAGTCATAATTATCCTGATAGGACAGCTAAAGGGACAACTAAAGGAAGGCTTGCTTGGTGGCCACATGTCACAGTCAAGGAAGCAAAAAGTAGCAACAAGCAGGCTTAGCAGCTTCCTGTTCTCATGTAAGCCAGAAAAGCAGTAAGCAGAGCTCATCACGTGGCTGCTAGTGGTCAGTCTCAGGTGCAAAGCGATCCCGTCCACGCTGCCTCAAGTTGCTCCTTTGCGTTTTCACTCCCATCCTACCCTGTGCTGGCTGTCCTAGTGCGTGCTGGGAACTCGTGTGGTGAGTTAGCTGGTGCCCAGACCCCGTGTGGGGGTCGGCCCCTGACTCCAGAGCCCAGGCTCTTGGGATGTACTTTTGAAACGTTTTCAAGATCACCATTGGACCCCAGCTCTGATCTATCTAAAAACACCAGAGTCTATCTAAAAAGCACTGAGTACTGGGTTGTTTGTTTTACTTTGGAGATGGTTCTGGGCCCTAGATGAAGACTCTAGGACCCTGTATTTGGAGATGGTTCTGGGACCTAGATGAAGACTCTAGGACCCTGTAGTAGGCTAGGGCTTCTTTCTTCTCAAGTATCAGTTTGTTTCAGGGAGCGGTAGCATATATTTCCATGGGGGTTATGTTTCCTATATCAATTACCCTCACATTACAATGCTCTCCTTGGTTTTGTTGGCTGTTAAGGCCACTGCACATGCTTGCGTGCACACGCACACACGGACACATCCTGCCTTATAGTCAGTGTATCTTCTCAGACTCCTAGTTTCTTGCATCTGAGTTTTACCCAATTGTTCTGGTTTTTTCCCATTTTATTCTTATTTTCTTCTCATGTCTTTTGTCGCTTTCTTACATCTTAACTGAACTCCTAACAGAACTTTATTATTACTGTGATAAGAACACTTAACATGAAATCTACCCCCTTAACAATTTTGTTGTCATGTTGACAGGCAGAGAGAGAGAGAGAGTTATTATCCACTGGTTCACTCCCCAAAGCCTGTAACACCTGGGCCTGGGCCAGGCCAAAGCTAGAAGCTAGCAATTCAGTCCATGTTTCCCATGTGGATAGCAGGGACCCAAGCATTTGAGCCATCACCTGCTGCCTCCCAGTGTGTGCTTAGCAGGAAGCTGGAGTTGGTGGTGCAGATGGGATTAGAACCCAGGCACTCCCGTAAGTACGGGATGCAGGTGTCCACCTGGCGGCTTAACCATGAGGCTGAATGTCTGTCCTCCCTCCCCTGCCACAAATATATTTTTAAAAGATTTATTTATTCATTTGTTTATTTATTTGCAAAGCAGAGTTAGGAAGAGAGGCAGAGAAAGGTCTTCCATCCACTGGTTCACTCCCCAAACATCTGCAAAGGCCGTAAGTTTCATATATATTTTAGATATTAGCCCTTCATCAAATAAGTAGTTTACGTATGTTTCCTCTCTTTCTTTAGGTTGCTTTTTCACTCATGCTTATTTCCTTTTTTAAAAAATTCAAATGTATTTTCACCGTATTTGAAGGACAGAGAGAGAGAGAGAAAGGCAGAGAGATCTTCCATCTGTTGGTTCACTCACCAAATGTTGACAATAGCCTGAGCTGGTCCAGACCAAAGCTGGCAGCTGGTTACTCGATCCCAGTCTCCCACATGGTTAGCAGGGACCCAAGGACTTGAGCCATCACCTGCTGCCTCCCAGGTGCACATGAGCAGGAAGCTGGAATTGGGAGTAGAGTCTAACCAGTGTGCCAGATGGCTACACTTGATTGTTCCCTTTGCTATTAATACAGCCCCACTTGTCTATTTTGCTTTTGGTGACTGTGCCTGTGGTGTCACAACTAAGAAACCATTGCCAAGACCAAGTTCAGTGAGCCTTTCCCCTATTTTTATAGGAGTGTTACAGTTCCTGGTCTTAAATTTGGGTCTTTAATAATTCATTCTCACTTGCTATCTGCATATAGTATAAGGTAGGAGTCCATGTATGTTCCATCCTGTTCCCATTGTGTCGTCTTGATGCCCTTGTTGATGATGAGTTGACCATATATGTATGGGTTTCTTTCTGGACCCTATTCTGTTCCAAGTCTCGACTTTCCTGTCCTTTCTCTACCCAGTGTACCGTGCAGGAAGCCAACCACACTTGTCATCTCTTTTGATGTTTCTAGGTGAATGAGAACTTGAGCCTTGTGAGCCCCCCAGAGTGGCCGAAGGCCCCAGAACATGGAGTTAGAAACAAGGCTGAATTTGCTGCTGTTGTTTTTCAGGCCTGTCATATGCAAGTCACACAGTTGGCTTCACTCCACCGACGTCACTGACGAGAGCCGGAATGTCTTACTACAACTCCCCAGGTCTTCACGTGCAGCACATGGGGACAGCCCATGGTATCACAGTAAGTGGCACGGGGGTGGTGAGTCACACTCTGCTCCCGAGGCTGGACCTGCTGAGAGCAGAATTGATGTCTTTAGACAGTCCCCTTTCTGTCCTGCTCCGTCAGTTCTCTTAAAAACTGTAGACTTCCCAGTGCTTTGATACCAAAGTCTTGTGTTGAAACTAAAATCCTTACCAGGAAGCCAAACTTCAACTTCACTTCCTGTGAAAAATTGCCCTGTCTGAAATGTGATTTGAACTTTGGCCAATGCCTCGAGTGACTGCAAGCCAGCTCCTTGCCATGAAGAATTATTGTTGGTTGCCGTGATGTCTAAGAACTTTTATTGTCTGCACCTCCCCAGTTCACTGACCCTGAATATTCTTCCTAAAGTTAGCCTTCTTTCTTCTCTCCCAAAATTAGAAGGAACCTTAAGTAGTTATGGTTCAAAACTCCACTCTGGGGAGTAGGCTATGTGAGTATGGTTGACCAATAGAGTGCCTAAAGGTTTGCTGATAGGGTTAGAGAACTGAGGGTGTTTCCAATAAGACAGACTTTCAAAAAAAGAAAAAGAAAAAGAAACCTGTTCTACACAAGCATTTTAAGGTACTCGAGGAGCTGTTCTGTCAGTTGGATAAAATCTTTATAAAAGCAAGAACCTTGTTTCTGAGCTGTAGTTTTTGGGATATGAAAAGCTTGTTTTGAGATGGATGCTACAAGGAAGTGGGAACACAGAACTGACAAAAAAAAATGATGTCAGGGGAAGACATGGCTGTTTTGACAACTGCTGTGACTGTCAGAGAGCCCGGGTGCAGTATGTGGTCAGGGGGAGTTTCCTGGTGAGTCTGAGTAGCTTTTTCACCGATGTGAGTGTACACACTCCCTCGTTTGAGTTTTCATCCATGCCTCGTCCAGAAACCAGTAGTGGTAAAGGCGACGGTAGCTGAGTTCTGGCTGCTGGCGGCCCGTCTCTCACTTGCCCCAGCTCTGAGGCAGGCTGCACTGGGAGTGAGCTGTCTGGGCCTCGGCTGACCTGCTGTTCTGTCCTCCCTACAGAGGCCTTCACCGCGGAGAAGCAACAGTCCTGACAAATTCAAACGGCCCACGCCGCCTCCGTCTCCCAACACACAGACCCCAGTGCAGCCGCCGCCACCCCCGCCGCCGCCCCCCATGCAGCCCTCGGTGCCCTCGGCAGTCAGCTCGCAGCCCGCCCCTTCGCAACATTCGGTGCACCCCTCCTCCCAGCCTTAATGCATGTGCTTAGTCTGAATTCCAAGTTGGGACTCGTCCAATGGAGCCGTCTACTCAACGCCAAAGGCTTCCTTCCCTGGCATATTTGGATCTGATTTGCACTGAGGTTATCTAGGCTTCACTGTCCATTGTGTTGTGTCTGTCGGAAACGCAGCCAGTGTTGTGGGTCTACAACACTAAGCAGACGACTTTTTCCAGCAGTGTTTTACTTGAATCTCCGTGTACGTCCATTCCCTGGCTGGAACGTTGGCTATTCGGTATTGGGTAATTCAGCAGCAGTGTGCAATTTTTGCTTGGCCCCAGAGCTTCAGTTTTCCTGGCTTTTCGGTTTGTAAAATAAAAAGGGATATCTTTTTTATATTTTTTTTTTCATGAATTTGCAGAAAATTGCTGAGCTGTTAATATTCCCCTTCTCCCATTGCAGTGGTGTTTATCAAGCAAAACTGATAATTCAGCACTACAGTCAGACCTTTGAAAATCTAGCTTTCAGCAGAGAATGGAAAGTTAGATGAATCAGTGCCCAAAACACAAGTACTGTTTAATAGAGCTTTCTACAGATACACTTTTTACAGGTTATTTTCAGTAAAAATCAATATCCTTGTCTCTTGTAAAACAGATAGCCTAAAGCGATAACTCCCACAACTGTACCCATCCACCAGATGGATAATTATCGTATATTAAGGTGTGACTCTGTCCTTTATCCTCACTGTTAATCTACCTGAACCAGCCCCCCGCCAGCGTGAGTCGATAAATGTTGTCCCAGCCACCAGTGGCTTCGATTTCTGATTAGAATGTGCTGTTTGATTTCGGCTGCAAAAGGCAACATGATTGTGACAGAAGCAATGTCATCTCCCCTTCGTTCTTTATTTTGGTTCCCCTAAGATAGAGTTTGAACAAATATTTTAAAGGTGCAACATACTATTAGACAATACTCTTTGAAACGGACCTTGTAGGAGTATCATGGCGTCCTGACCACCAAATGCTGTACTGCTTGGCGGAAGAGAAGCATAGAGGAAAGTAGCACACTTAGCATTGATGACGGATGATTTCGCCCAGTGTAAGCGAGTACAGTGTACAAAGAAGTATATCCTGAGTACATGAGTTCCATTCATTTAGCACAAATAAATCATTTGGTTTCACTTTGAGGTGGAACACCGTGAGTCACTCTTTTCTTAATACTCGCAACATCTTTATTTTTGTTTTTCGGAGGTTACCGTTTTGTACTTGGTAGTAAAGTGATTTTTTACCACCTGTGTTTGCATATTTATATATGCTGTGGATGAAAATAACTTACTCGAGAATGTATATTTTATGATAAGAATGTGTATCTGTTGGATATAATCAGAACTGAAAATTAATTTATCAGTAATTTTTAAGAGCTCATGTTTTGTGACAACCATCTCTAATAGCTAACTCTTTATTGAATACACTCCTAAAAATAAGGAACCATGACATAGTAGATATTTAACATTGTACAGTATAGAAGCCTTCGGTTTTGCCTTGAAATGCATATTTAAGAGTTAACAGAATGAAAAGTGTTCTTGGATAATAGTGTTTGACTAGCATTGTAAGGACTCGAGAGGAAAAGCCACAATGGGATTTTTTTCACCTCTTTCTGCTGCTGCCCCCAAACTGAGAATGTCATCCTGGGTTTGAAGGAAATTTTACATCTATATAAATTTTATTTACAACAGGTATGTGATTTTCATCATCATAGTACAGTTCTCAAACATGGGGAGGAAGTCGGACATGTAGTTATTGAAGCTTTAGGTTTTTAAAACGATCAAATGGGGCCATGCCACACCCAGGGATCCCACCAGCAGCTCAGTTGTCGCTCCTGGTAGGTACATTGTTGTTCCAGGGAAGTCGGAGACGAGGCGCACACGGATCCACGGTACAGTTCTCGGTTTCTCTTCCAGGAGAACTGTGGTGCGTGTTTACAAGGCTCTTTTCTGAGAGTACAGATTTCAGAGCTGTCGGATAGTGTCTAGCATCAGCTAACAGAATCTGCAGTGTAATGGTCTTCCCTTTGCTTTCTGTCGATCTGGTTACCTCCCGAGAGCACGACAGGTAAAATGTTGCTCTGTGGTGAATGAGAAGGCACGTGGAGTGAGCACACGGTTCCTGCTAAATGCCTTTCAGAGACAGATTCTTAACATGCAGACTTCCCGGAGAGGTGCCGCTGGCCTCCCTGGAGTCACCATTTCTCTTTGGAATAACACGCAGCTCCTTCAAACTGCACTTTTCGGCATAAACCTAGTTGCCTGTCCCAGCAGACATTCAGAACTGATAGAACAAACACTACTGTGTTGAGTGTATGATGTTTCGTGTCATTTTAAAGTGGAGCCTGTAACACTTGGGCAGTACCCGCTAGGACGACTTGTTGGCCGTTGTATAGCCACCAGGGACGCGTGATACTCCAATCCTGAGCTTCTGGGAGCTGGCGTGGCTACTGCCGTTCTGTTGCCCTCTGGCCCAGGCTAGTCCTGGAATGTTCCAGATGGCCTTTGTAAAATTAGTAGCCACCTGCACACGGGCAGGAGCGACAGCAGCTTCACTTCCTGTCTTGCTGGCAGAGACCCTTGGCCACCACTGTGCTGCTAATAGAATAAGTACTGCGTCGCCAGATGACCACGCCTTTTCTACAAAGTCAAGTTAATCACCTAATACCTGGCACCTCTGGGCTCTGAACTGCTTGCTCCCATCAAGCATGCTGGCATTCAAGACAGCGTTCTAGAAATTTGGCAGATGGTGGAAGTATTTAAAGTTTAGTTTAACTTACTCCTTTCTTGATCGAAAGGAGTCGTAGATTCTGAGCTCCTGAGACACTGACTACCAACCATGGAATGAATGTGTGACCAGAATGTGGCTTTGACACCAAGTGCTGCCGTGCCTTTGGAATTGGCTTCTAACGGATTTGACCAGAAATCAGTGAGTGAGAATTTTTATGAATTGTTCAATGGTAGGAAACTAGAACATCACCCTCTGTTAGGTAGACATGAACTTCTCTTGCACGAAGCCTTGCTCTTAGAGGATGCTCAACAAGGCAAGAAAAAGCATAGTAATTTGTGCTTTGAGAGCTCAACATGTTTAATCTTACCAGTACAGAAGAACTACTTCTCTGTAGCTTGAGCTTCTGTCTAGAACTTGTCTTACAGGTAACCAACACTGAAAACTTTGTAGTAATGACTACCAAAGAAATATGTAGTAAAACAACCTTTATTTCCAAATTATTAAAGAGCCAGCCATTGACGCTGCTACGTGAGTTCCATGCTCAAGAGCCATTGTAAGAAATTAAGGGGTTTTTAAGTTTTGGGGCTTTGTTTTCTTTTTCAGTTTTTTTTTTTTCCTCTAAAATTTTTTTTTTTTTTGATAAGACATTTGTTAGCAGAAAGTTATGGGGAGCATTTTCCAGAATGCTCAGCAGTTGTGATTAACTGCCAAGCCCAGTTTGCCTCTTGTGAGGCAATGAAAGGAATCCTGTGTTCATGACAGCATGGGTGCTGTGTGTGTGCACGTGTGCGTGTGTGCAGTCATGCCTTAACTCGGGTTACTGCTCAACTTTCGTTCTTGACTTAGTCTGCACCGTCATCTAGATTGTATCGTACATCTCGATCTGAACTTCATCCTGGCAAAAACAAGGTTGCAGGCACAACAGGTTAAGAACGCATTCCTCCGGAAGAGTTATCTGGTCAGGTTGACCCTGAGTCGTATTTGAACTTTATTTGGAACTTAGCCTGGAAGAGACTGTCAGATGGAAAGATGTCCACAAGAAGAGGAGAGCCAAGTGCTAGCATGCCTTTCGCCTCTGCATACCCGTGCACACTGTATGGTGTTCATTATAGGTTGTCTACAGCTTGACTAGGTTGGGGTTCTGGTAATAGTGGCAATCTTGACATTCTTGGTCAGAGTTTAGAGAGATGTAAGACTTGGAATTATTGTCTTATTTACTTCTTTTATGTTGATTAGTCTTTGATACATGTGCTGAATCAGAAACCTAAATAAAGATAATTTTTTAAATGTACCTCTTGAGCCTTAAGCCCTATCTCTTTCTTTCCGGTCTTGGAGTGGGAGAATGAGCAGTTGGCTTGGTTTTTCTGGCAGACTCCCGACTCAGCCCCTGAACTCTAGAGGCTGCCGTGGAAAGTCAGTTTAGGACGACAGCACAAAGGGGCTGCTGCCGTTCTGTTTCCCAGTCCAGGTGCTGTGTACCTGGGTGTACTGTTTCTGAAGCTCTATTAATCTCTGCGCTGTTCCAGATCTCCGCAGTGTTTCAGTGCAAAACCTACGCGGTCATAAAAAGGAGGGCCACCTGCCTTCCCAAGATGTGACTTACAGGTAAACTGCCACATACACACAAGGGCACCTCAGAAAGTTTGTGGAATAGTAGAATTCAAAGACAAATATGAGGGGTGGGTTGTTTGGCTTAGCAGTTAAGACAGCTCTGGGGGTGGGGGCGGGGAGCATATGACACGGTGATTAAGACTGCTTGGAACACCCAGATCACTCACTGGAGGGCCTGGGTTCAAGTCCCAGCTTCTCTTCCAGTCCAGTTGCTTGGGAGGCAGCAGGTGATAGCTCAGGTACACACAGGGGACACTGGAATGTTCCCAAGCTTCTGGCTTCAGCCTGGCCCACTCATGTTTGTTGGAGATGGTTGGAGATGTTTGGAGAAAGAACTAGCAAAATGAAAGATATTTTTTTCTCTCTCTCTGCCCACGCTCCCTCCCCCTCTCCCGCCCCCCCCCCCATCCCTTTTGCCCACAGCTAACCTACCTGGCTCCCTCTCTCTTTCCCTTTATTTTCTCCCTTCCAAATAGCAGTTTTTAAAAAGACAACTTCTTGGTAAACCCGCATTCCATTTCAGTGTGCCTGGGTTAGAGTCCAGGCTCCCCTCTATTCCAGATTTCTCCTAACATGCACCCTCAGAGGCAACAAAGGATGGTTCAGGTGGATCCCTGGGAGACCAGTTTGAGTTCCCAGGCCTGCCTTTGGCCTGGCTCAGCTCCAGTTGTTGTGGGCATCTGGGGAGGGAACCAGCAGATGTGAGGTTGCTGTCTCTTTCAAATGAAAACAAAAGATTTGGAGCAGACATTTGGCTTAGAGGTCGAGATGTCCATGTACCACATCTGAGTGCCTGCGTTTGTTCCCTGGTTCTCTTTCCACCAGTGCAGACCTGGGAAGTAGCAGGTGATGGCCCAAATGATTGTGTCCCTGCTGTCCATGTGGAAACTTGGATTGTGCTCCTGGCTCCTGACTCCAGCCCTGGCCGTGTGGGCATTGGAGCCGACTGGCGGATGGCATCTCTCTCTCAACTATTTTTTTAAAATTTGTTTTGGCATAAAATTTTAAAATCCATGCATAATTTTTATAAACATTTTCCATAAACTTTAAAAAATTATTTGAGAGGCAGAGACAGCTCCCATCTGCTAGTTGGCTCCCCCAGTGTCCACAACTGCTGGGATGGGGCCAGGCCAAAGCTGGGAGCCAGGAACTCAGTACAGGTCTCTACACTGATGGCAGGGACCCAACCATGTGGCCTGTCACCTACTGCCTCCCAAGGTGTGCATTAGCAGGAAGGTAGAATTAGAAGTGGAGCCAGGACTGAAACCCAGACACTGTGATATGGAATGCGAGCATCCTAAATTGTGTCTTAACCATTATACCAAATACTCATCCCTACGCCCCTACGCAGACTTTTTGAAGACCCCTGCCCATATATGTTCAGGCTTTGAGTGCCGTGTTTGGTTATAGTGAGTTTTTAGAAGTTCAAATCCATCAATCCATCTATGTCATTTTCCTATTTTGTAGGACACATGATTTTAGAGGTTTTTTTTTGTTTGTTTGTTTGTTTTTGAGAGGCAGAGTTACAAAGAGGCAGAAGGCAGAAATTGGTCTTCCATCTGGTGGTTAACTCCCCAAATGGCCACAACAGCCAGAGCTAAGCTGATCCAAAGCCAGGAGCCAGAAACTTCTTTCGGGTCTCCCACGTGGGTGCAGGGGCCCAAGGACTTGGGCCATCTTCTGCTTTCTCAGGCCGTAGCAGAGAGCTGGATTGGAAGTGGAACAGCCAGGACTTGAACTGGCACCCATATGGGATGCTGGCACTGAAGGCGGCGGCTTTACCCAGTACACAGCGCTGGCCCCTAGGATCTTTTGTGGGTTCGAGTACCAGCTCTTTCCTTGGGTTAGCTACTTAACCTCCCTAGGTTTGAACTAACTTACCTGTAATACTACTCTATCTTGCCAGAATGAGAAGGTCCATGAGAAAGTACAATACAGTTCACCACACAGCAAGACAAATCTATGTCCATCCATTTAGGAAGAAACATAGGATGAGTTTGAGAAGATTCTTTTATACGTGTTAAGGGGGAGGGTAGGGTGGTTGGTCAGCTGTATTGTTACCCCCTGTCATTTAGGATCCACAGTCTGCTAGGAAAATAGATACACAGGGCTTAGAGGGTTCCTCTCTGAGAAGCTGGAGACTTTAAGAACTCTGTGATTTCTTAAGAATGCAAACCATCGAAATCTAAGCCCTTTTCCAAGCGTAAATAAACTAAGTCTTGACTCTGGCTTAAGTAGGATTCATCTTGGCTGTTAACACGATGAGCCTTTAATCTGGTTAGTCACTTGCTGAATAGAAATGCCCAAATGACAGCATGTTTCTCTACCCATGGTAGGTTGAGGTGGGTTTTAACTTAGTGAAGATACTAACCAAGAAATTTTTGTCTGCCTGCTTCAATTTTTTTTTTTTTTACGATTTATTTATTTGCAAGGCAGAGTGACAAAGACATGGAGACACACACAGAAAAAGGGAGAGATCTTCCATCTGCTGGCTCACTCTCCAAATGCCCATACCAGGAACTCCACCTGGGTCTCCCACGTGTGTGGCAGGTGCCCAGGTACTTGGGCCATCTTCTGCTTTTGTAGCCAGTTTGACAGGAAGCTGGATCAGAAGTGGAGTAGAAAGGATTTGTGCTAGCTCTCTCTGATAGGGGATGCCGGCATTCCAAGAAGTGGCTTAACTGGCTACACCCAACACCAATGCCTATGCCAGCTTCAGTTTGCCAATCTGTATAATGTGAGTTGCCATTCTTACTTAAGGTAGAGTTTGAAGAAAACAAAATGTGGAGTGCTTTAAAAACAAAGAAAAACTGTGAATGCTGTTTTTTTTTTTTTCTTTTTAAAGATTTACTTAGTTGAAAGGCAGAGCTACAGAGTGGGAGAGAGAGAGAGAGCTCCCATCCTCTGGCTTATTCCTCCAAATGGCTGCGGAAGCCTGGCCTAGGCCAGGTTGAAGCCAGGAGCCAGGAGCTTCATCCAAGTCTCCCGCATGGGTGTCAGAGACCTAAGCACTTGGGCCGTCCTCTGCTACTTTCCCAGACTCATTACCTGGGAGCTGGATCAGAAGCGGAGCAACCAAGGTTTGAACCCACACTCTGATAAGGGGTGCCGATGTCACCAGTGGCACTTACCCTATACCACATTGCTGGCTTAAGAAAAACATCTGTAAAGATTAGATGTCCACAGTTGCTTCTAAAGTTGAAATAGCTGATTGAGAACATCCTTTGCATTTGTGTATAACTCTAAGCATGGGTTCTTGTTTTGATGTATAGGCTCTTTTAAAAAATGGGAATGCAGTGGTATTCAGTCACTAATGTCTAATTCAGTCTCAAAGTTTGTGACACGCTGTTTAGAGCTAGAGAAAGAGAGTGCATGGTTAATTATGCTTGTCTATGTGTCTACTGCACCTTTGGACAAAACAGAATTCCTGCCCCTCCAAGAGTTCCATCTCATGTGTTACTCCCAGTTTCATATTGTGCTAAGTGTTGTTGAACTAAATGTATTCAGATATGTTTCAAAGACCTCATTTTTTGACATCCTACTGATAACTTAGTGCAACATTAAAAATGACTGGTTATCCCAAGAGGAGATCCTAGTAATTAATTTTAAATTTTCATCTCAAAAGCAAAATCTGGAAGGCCAGATTCAGAAGTGAGACAGATGGTAGAATCAGGAGACAGGCTGTTAGAACGGCCGATCTGAGCATGCCTGTTGTGTACAGGAGGCCAGCGGGAAACATAGCAAGGTGAGGAAAAATGGAAAATAGGCTCCAACTGATCTTTAGAGAGAAAAATTATAAGGGTGTATCAGGATTCATGGAGGGGATAATTTTGATGTAAATTTTGTAATCAGGCAGTTTTTTTCATGATATGAATTTAAAGATTTATTTCAAGTGCAAGGTGATAGAGAAACAAATTTTCCTTTTTTTTTTTTTTTTTTTTTTTTTTTTTTGAGGCATAGAGGAGAGAGGGAGAAAGTCTGAGTTCTCATCTGCTGGTTTACTCTCCCTGCAACAGTCGGGGCAGGGCCCGAGGCCGGAAGCCTGGAACTCAGTCTGGGTTTCCTGTGTGGATGGCAGGGGTGCAACCACTTGTAATGCTCCCTGGTGTGCACATGAGCAGGCAGCTGGAATCGGGCGGAAGCTTGAAGCCAGGCCCTTGACGTGACTGGTGGACATCCCCAGTGGCTTCTTAACTGCTAGACCCATTGTTCGCCATCGTGAGCTTTTTCAAGTGCACTCAAACTATCTGAAATTTCAATGACAAAAATGTGATCTAAATCTTGTGGACTTATGCTGCTACTCTTTATTTTTACTTATTATTTATTTGAAAGGCAAAGAGTTACAGAGAGGAGAGTGAGATCTTCCGTCTGCTGGTTCGCTCCCCAAATGTCCACAACGGCTGGGGCTGGGCCAGGCTGAAGCCAGGAGCATAAATTCTTGAGCCATCATCTTGCTGCCTCCTAGGGTGCACACCAGTAGGAAGCTGGGTCAGAAGTGGAGGCAAAACTCTAGCCTGGCACTCTGATACGATGTCCCCAGCTGTGACTTAATCCCGTGAGCCACAATGCCCATCGCCTACATTTGTGTTTAATATCTTTTTTATTGTAATTCTCCATAGTGTTTGAGTATCTGTGTTTAACAACCAGCTCACAAAAACCCTGGGAATGTAACAGTTGGTC